ATTTCGATTCTTTTGAATTTGGATGGGTACCCAAACCCGCCCACCGCTTATTTAGGATATATTCAAGAATAATGATATATACACTAACAAAAAACAATACAATCCAAGTACTAATTAACGTGGTAAATCTCTATTATTGTCACATCAGTTTCCCCAAAAACTAAAAAAAATAAATTTCAAAATTTAAACTAATAATATTTGGATAAGTATAAATTGATTAATATACAAAGCATTACTCTATCCTCAATGATTCCATAATTGATCAAAAGTTGTTGTGATGAATTATCTCGGCCCTAATTAATCATCTTAATTTCTTTTCAACCTACCAATTAATAACTTCTGTCTCAATGAATTACGTCATCCGACATCTTAATATTATTATGAGGTGTTTAATTAATGGAGAGATTTAATGAAATCATTAATGGGAGGGAAAACATTAATAGTTTTCATGATGGCCCTACTTAACCTAATGACATAATTGTAGAATAGGTGTCATAAGAAGAGTAGTGCTATTTGGATCAATCGATCCCGATCAAAAACTTTTTTGAAAGGTAAATTTACAAATTTACCTTTTAGTAAAATAAAATTACTTTTGGCTCTTAAATCTTGTTTTTTTTTGGGAGGGAAACAATTTACCGTATTTATATTAAGAAAGAATGAGATATAAGTAATTATTATTTTAATATTTTCAAGAATAGAGATTGGAAAGTATAAATTAATTTATTGTAATAATTAAATTGCTTTAAAAAAAAATGTAAAGATACCGTTTTATCTCTTACAATTGCAAGTGTAATCCCTTTTATAAGTATATGTTTTTTTCTTGTATCAAACATTTGCCATCCAAAGTTGCAAGTATAATCTTTTATTGCAAGTATAAGAACAGTTTGCAACACATTGATTTTCAGCACATATTAATACAAAGGTACAAAGTGTGTTGAGTTAGCTTGAATGTTTAGCCAAGTACACTAGTTTAGTTATTGATTAAAGTGTTTATTTGAGAAGCATTGTTTTGTCAATTATTTCCTAGAAGTTTAGGGCTGGTTTGTATTTCAGTTTTTTTCAAAATTGTTAGAGCTTAAAGACTATTTTGGTCCTTACTAATTAGCTTAAGTTTTTGGATTCAGTTTTTAAGTAAACATGGTATTAGAGATCGGTTGACGAGATGGTCTTTTACCTAAATCCTTCCATTTTATTAGCCAAATCATGTTAAGTTGAGTTTGTGTTTATTGTTGCGGTTAAGTTGTACTTGATTCACATGCATTAGCCATATTAGAACTTAAGTACTATTCTTAATTTGGTTCTTACCCATGACATTAAACATGGTAGATTGTAACTTGTAAGATTATGTCATTGCATGTATTTGTATTTTAACTTGGTAAAGTCACTAACACATTGAAATCTTATAATACATTATTTTAAATTCGAAGTCATGCAATTGATTTGAAATGACAATTAGATTAAACTGAAAAATTCGATTCTTTAAACAAAGAATATTAAAAAAACCATATGGGTTATATATTTCAGCGCAAGTGCTTTTCTGGCACTATAATTAAACTTATAATTGTTGGCATGAGTAAAGTGTATAATAACTTTTATCATATAATTAAATTAAAATATTAAATTTGTTCTTGGTAATAAATCAAATGTTTTAAAAATATTTCATTTTAGGCTTAATGATGAGAGAGAGAATTAAATGAAATTTGAAATTCTAATTTTATTTTATTCTTTCTCTCACTATTAAATCATTTTTTTAATTTTTTAATTCTATAAGGATAAATATGTTTTTTATACACGAATCATCCTATAAAAAATCAAATATATTTCTATTTTATCTAGATTAATTGATCCAACAAACATTTTAAGAAATCTGTGAAACAAAAGATTTTAATATAAAAATGGATGGATGATGGGTAAATGATTTTAATGGAGGCATGCCAATGTGATCAGATCTGATATTGATTAAATCATGCGACGTAAAGCAGAGCAGGATTACGTGCGATAATATTGAGGGTGATGGATATCATGATTAAGATATCCTTCTTGCCGCAACATTAATGGTGGGTGGCCATGTGCATTGTGCACTCTCTCTAATTACTACGTAATTAATTAGATGCAATAATTTAATAAAAAAAAAAGTACCATATTTTGGAAATTAAATAAAGAAGAATATGTTTATAAAGACAAATAGGCGGTTTCTGGATTCCCTCTCTCACTCAATTGTCCCCCACCAGTTTAAAGCTTAATTTGTATTTGATTTCTCTTGTCTCTCCCCAACTTTGCATTAACCAGTTCTTGACTCTTTGAAAATGATGATTCTTTAGGGATAATCATATTTCATATCACCATTAATGAGTTGGGAAGATTAAGATAATCATCTTTAACTAAAAGTGATGCCCTAATTTGATGATATGCTCATTATGTGTGAAATGCATTGTTAGACCATGTGGTGGTATCTTCAAAATAAAAGTCGTATTGATCATCTCATTTTCGTCAATATGATTGAAGCATGTGTACCCAATTTTCAAATGCATAATAAGAAAATGGAAAATTAATTTGAGTTGTATAATATTATATAATAATCTTATACAGATGGTTAATATATAATTAACCCAAGGGGGTTCGTCCACAGCAGTAAAAAAAATTTGCTTCTTTCATTGATTTTTTTTATTTTGAACCACGTTTTACGGGTTTGAACTTAGAATTACTTTGAGATCATTTATCATAATTGCAGTTTAACTTGGAGCATTGAAAAAAAAAAAAAAACAAGATAACAAAAATGTAATGATGAAAATTATTAGGGAGGTAAGAAATAGGAATACAGGGCGTGAGGATAAGTCGTTTGACTAAGATGTATGTTCATCGATAAACTTAAACTCTAACCACAACACAAGATTGGGCAGATAGATGACTTTCGGCTAATTCTGCCTAATATTAATTATTTATTAAATAAAAAAGAATCCCTTCAAGATTTGGCTCGAAAGGAATCAAGTCTTTCTTAAGGAATCTTTTATTTATTATATATATTTTATTTAGTTTATTTGAGTCAGCAATGACTCAAGTTTCTACCTTCAATTCCATTTTCTTTATTTATTTATTCTATCCTTCATGTTGTATGGTTTTTACACACTTCTGACACATTTTCATTCATCAAATTTATTTTGGAGATTAATAAAATTTCATCTCAACATGGTCAAAAGTTTATGATTCTGTCATAGGGTTCAATTAAAATAATTAAATAAAAATATTTTTCATAGTAAACTATTAACTTAATGAAGAAATTAAAGTTCAGATAGGCTCAATCTTTAGAGAAGAGAGACAATAAATAATGACCTTGAAATGTGGTTGAGTGAGGTGTTTATAAATATCAATAAATGCGAAGAAGAAGAAATCTAGCACTTTTGTAGGGATGTGCTATAGTGGGAATATGAAATGTTCTTGCCATTTTTATATGTAAAATGATCAATCATATTCTTTTTTTCTTGATGATTTTATGTGGCTAAGGATTCTTATTAGTTATTATTATGATTTTATGTGGCCACTCTCTCTCTCTCAAAGCACATGCAAATGGAAGCACATGCATTTTCACAGAACTGGTTAGGGCTGATCTTCTGGTTCAGCAGCTGATGTAAGACTCAGCTCATTAAGAATCTCTCACTTTTTAAATATTCAAAGATTAAGAAAATATAAAACTATAATTAAGTTTAAACAATGTACAGCTTCATTTGTGAACACATTATGCAGCTGGCCTGCAAGCTAGCTAGGCAGCTATATACTCATTAGAAAAATTATGTGTGATGAAATTTACGTACACAGAGTCATGATGAAACAAGAAGAGAGCCAATGCATGTTGCTAAAGGCTACATTTAACGCTAACAGTATGTTAGGTTTCGCTATTTAAGACGCTAAGCGGAAATGTAAACAAAAATCTTCAACTTCATGCCATAATAGAGTTCCTGTTTTTAAACAAAACTGAACATGGTTTTTACGTTACATTCTGTTTCTTGACGACGGAGTTGAGTTATTGATCTCTAATGAGTGATGGGTTCATTAGGATGCAAGTAAAGAGTGTGAGATTGAGACTCATTTAATGAAGAAATTAAAGAGCGGCAACAAGAAAGCCGTGTGTCAGAGTCTTTGGCGTGCATAATTGAGCAAGGTAAACACTCTCGTTAACTCCCCGAATCCAACTTTGCTTTTTCACACCACTAGTCTTTAAACAAAGAAAGTATAATATTTTCGTGTTAAATTTTCTAGAATTAGTGCTGTTTCTTACAGTTACATCTCACAGAGTGAACGGAAAACACATTGCTTAATTATTTGGCTTTCGACGTGGGGCGTTCTGGTTCTTTAGCGTACATAATTATATAGAATCTGAAACTGAAAAAAGCAGCTAAGGCACTGATTGGTATTTTCAAGTTTTCTTTTTTAGCTTTTTATTTTGGTGGGTTTTGTGTAAATTTGTCATCTTTTTTGTGGGTTGTGTGTAAATTTGTTATCTTTTTTTTTTTTTGTAGGTTTGGTTCTTTAGACTCAGTGAGTTAGTGCTCATGCATGGCCCATTTATTAATGTGTCACAAATGATAGTACAATTGTGGTGTAGACGTAATATTTGGTGAGTTTAAATTAAAATTAGTTAGCTTTACCAATTTAGAGAGATCTCTTCTGTTTATTTATTTTTTGTGGTTTGAAAGTTTTTAGCATCTGTAGGTTGATGTTACCAAATCTTGAAGTGGGTTGGTTTTATTTCTACTTTAATGCTACAAGTTAGGGAGCATTGTTGATGGGTTTATAAATTTGATAGAATTGGTCTTGGGTTTTGCTGGGGTTTCCACGGAGAGTGGATTGACTTTTTTGTTTGTTTAATTTAACCAACTTGATAGTTGATGAAAAGCATATTTTTTTATGTGGGGTTTTAGGGTTTTACACGTATGATAGTACAATGTGATCTCTTGGTTTATGATTTGATTATTCTGGTATATTTCTCGGATTGCAATTGAATTTGAAGCCTTTTTTTTTTGGTTGGTAGTTGATGTTTGATTGTTCATTACTTCAGTAGATTTAAATTAATTTTTGTGATCTTTCTTATTTATTCCGTATAAAGACAGATGCTTGTTGTCTACCGTTTTGGTGGTTTTCTAAACGTTGCAGGTTTTTCAAACTTCAACGGTTGAAAAATACACCATTTATAAATGATTTGGAACTTGAAGCTTTAAAGAAACTCAATTAGTCTTTGTGGCATGAATCTTTATGTGCTTTTATTTTTTTATTTTAAGAAAAAACAAAGAAACAGAGTAATCAGAAATCAAAAGATAAAGAAATAGTTAGTGAGGTGGAGTCAGATTTGTGCTTGTGGGGTGTCTGGTTTTTTAATAATTTAGTGCAGGTAGTGATAATTATTTTGTGTTAAGAATCTGTTGGCTATGTCCCCTGAGCTAACTGGGTGCGCCCGGGCTCCGTGGGCTTTGCCGGTGACCAAGGAAACAACCTCTTCTATGCCTCTCTTGCCATTTAAGAGAACCTTTTGTTAAAAAATTACTCAAACCCTCTCTACCTTGCCTTCAATTTTCTATTATTCTATCTTATTAGGACTCCCTGCCTCGATTGCTGTCAAGATTCGGTCATACCCTTCAGGCATATATCCTTACCCTTTCTTTTAGATCCTTTACTCTCTTTTAACCCAAAGAGTTTGTCATCTCAAATTTGGTCCCCACAACTGGGGAATTTACATTCCATTCCTGGAAAATTTTCCTCGATTTCGGTAATGTGTGTTTTATTACTGGACATGTGGTGTAGTGAGTCTGATAAGTTTGATTTAAAACTGGTCAGCTGAGCAGTGAGGAAGGTGGCTTTGAGGTATCAGTGGAAAAGTAGATCCTTTGCTTGCCAAGATGAAGTTTATGAAACTTGGATCGAAGACGGATTCCTTTCAAATAGATGGTAATGACATTAGGTGAGATCTCAATGAACCTTATTTCATTCTGTGCTTTTTTCTTCCTTGGCTCATCTTTTACTGAGAACCTTGTATGTGTTTCAATTGGTTTCCTGTTCATTGGAATTGATTGTACCCATCTTTTAGAAGTTTTCCTATTTTGTTGATGCTTAACCTGGGGCTTCTGTTTAAGTTTTTTTCCTTTTGGGAGGTATGGAATTTTTGTTCTTTTATGGAATATCACAAATATCTAATTTATCCCAGCAAACTTCTGCATTAGTTAGTTTGAAGAAAATGTTGGCAGAGTTGAGGTTTTTGTCATTACATGATTTTATTTTCAATCTCTCCACTATATTGTCCTACTCATTTTATATAGTAACGATTTGGACTTGCATTCTGAACTGTCTCCTTCAGCAGTGGGGCCATTTCTGGGAACCTTGAGATTCAAAAGGTTGTGTTCTGTTTTATTAATTATCAAGGGGGGAATTTTTGTGCCGTTAGAATCTATCATCATTTCCTGTTTAATATTCTTCATAAACTTGAAACTGTTTGGTTCTTCTCACCGTTGGTACAGGAATTTTACTATTGGTTTTGGGCAGCGACAAATTAAAGACCAATTAGCACTAATCTGTTACCTGGATGTGTGAAATTTTGGACAGTCAGTATAAGAGGGTTGACACTTAGGAGATAGGCACTTATTGCTGAAGAAAATTTGCTTGGTTTAGAATTGCTTTTAAGATTGGTTGTCAAATTGGTCGTCCAGAATTTGAAGTCTTTACATAGATTCTAGAGCCAGGTAAAAAAGTAAAGGTGTTATTAAGCATGGCAAACCCTGTGTTTATGTACAGTATATCGAGAACACCAATTATACTAGTACAGAGAATATATCAGTTTCCTTCTCTGGGAATGCTATCTAGTTAAATGTCTGATATGATCGTAACATGCTTTAGACAATAGCTAATGATGCTGATATAATGATTTAATGTAGATAAACCATAAAAATGCGTAACCGGAAACATGTATGTTTGTAAACTGCATTAGACCTAGTATTTTACCTGTATTAAGTGAACCAATTGACTCTCTGCTGAATTCCAATTTTAAATTGAAATGACATTGAATATGATTCCGGCTCTGTTAGTGGTTTAATTATTATGCTATTTTAGAATCAGGTTTATTTTGGAATGTCATATAGATTATAGATGCAAACTTGAGTGTTTTTTTATGTTGTTTGGTGGGAAGCAGGTATCTAACAGGATGCCCTCTATTAGTTTGGACCCTTACCTATCTGTTTAAGGTTTTGGGTCAATTAGTTACTTAATGTGGTATTTGGTTGACGAAGTGGTTTTGTCTTTGAATCCCTCTTTGTATTATTTAAATTGTCATAAGCTGTTTTTGTTACTATAATTGTATTCGTGATTGTAGTTGTTATGTTTGGTCCACTTGCAAATGCACATATTCTAGAGCTACAATGTGCTTGGTCCCCAACATTGCAAGTAACTCTATTAAAATTGACAGAGGATAAGCCTTCCTGTGTCCTATGTGCTGCATGATTTTGGCAGCCGCTTACTCCTGGAAATATCTCTTATGTTAATTTGGTATTTGCAGCTAAATGGAATACGGATAGTAATTGCTAATACGAAAATATCATTATATATGAAATTGAGAAATGATAAAATTGTTTTGAAATGTATAGACTTCAGGGATGCTAAACTTCTTTTCTTACTATAAGACTTTGGATAAAAGGATCTATAGAAGTTCAAATAAAAGATTTTCTGAGACAGCTCCACTATCCAGTATAACAATTTTGCTTCTTTCATTGGAAATTAAAGTAAAAAACCGTAATTCACTGTGTTTTTCTTAGGCATAATGTAATATACTTTCCAGAAGGATGTTTGATAACATCAGTCATCTTGTGTAGTTGAGAAGCTCTGAATGAAAGTGAAAGTAGTTCAAATAAAAAGTTAGACATTCTTCATCCCTCACAATAAGTTTAATTGTGCTTCTTCATTTTTATTCTTGTTATACTGAAATTATGGAGAGATTTTAGTGACATTCTGAAGGAAAGACATTTTGTTCTCAGGTATGCAGCAAGTGAGTTGGTGACTGACATTGTTGTTGTTATCGGAGATGTAAAGTTTCATTTACATAAGGTATGGTTTTCTTTATTCTGAAAAAAAAAAAAAAAAAAAAAACACTTTTAAGTATATGCGAGAAAATTATTGTCGGTGCCCTTGCTTTGTGGTAGTGCATGAAACAATATTTGGCACTTCTTAACTACTAAGGAATTTTCAACTTATTCTGATTGACTGATCATCATTAGGTAATATAAAATGTGCTCACATATAAAAGCCATTAGCCGTGGTTCCTAGTTTCAACATACTGACCTGAGCTTCGTTTAAGAAGCTTGGTTTAAGAAAACTGACCTGGAGCGGAATTTGTAAAACTTTGGAAATTCTGCTTATGAATGTTTGTTTATATGTATAAATACATGTTCATATGCTTGGTACCAACATTTATTAATCCTCTGAAACTAATAAAACTGAAAAAATGTTATATGCAGTTTCCTCTTCTGTCAAAATGTGCCTGCTTGCAGAAGCTGGTAGCGACCTCTACTGAAGACAACAGTAATGAAGCTGACATTTCCAACATTCCCGGTGGTCCTGCTTCCTTTGAAATTTGTGCCAAATTTTGTTATGGAATGACCGTGACCCTCAATGCTTACAATGTTGTGGTGGCTCGATGTGCGGCAGAGTACCTGGGAATGCATGAAACTACTGAGAAAGGAAATCTCATTTACAAGATTGATGTCTTCCTTAGCTCCAGCATTTTTCGCAGCTGGAAAGATTCAATCATTGTTCTACAATCGACCAAGTCTCTATTACCATTATCTGAGGATCTGAAGATAGTCAGCCATTGCGTTGAAGCTATAGCAACCAAAGCCTGTGTTGATGTTTCTAAAGTTGACTGGTCATATACCTATAACCGTAAGAAGCTCCCAGAGGAAAATGGGAATGATCCAAGCTGGAATGGTGTCAACAACCGAGCAGTACCGAGGGACTGGTGGGTTGAGGATTTATGTGAGCTTGGAATTGATCTATATAAGCGTGTTATAATGAATATTAAAACCAAAGCAATACTTCCTAGTGAAGTGATTGGAGAAGCCTTGAAAGCTTATGCTTACAGAAGGCTGTCAGGTTTCAGCAAGGGTATGATCCAGTGTGCCGATGTGTTGAAGTATGGAACAGTTGTTGATACAATTGACTGGCTGCTGCCTGTAGAGAAAGGCTGTGTCTCTTGTAGTTTCTTGCTCAAGTTGTTGAAAGCAGTCATTCTTTTGGACTCAGGAAATATTGTCAAGGAGCAGCTCGTAAGAAAAATAGGACAGCAACTAGAGGAGGCATCCGTCAATGATATTTTGTTAAGGACACCTGAAGGTGAAAGTACCACGTATGATGTTGACACAGTACACAAAATTGTTGAAGAATTTTTTATGCAAAATCAAAATGCTGAGATTGAGTCACCAGAAGAAGATCAAGAGATTCAAGTGATAAGAAGCACAGGGATTTTATCTGATGCTTCCAAGCTGATGGTAGCAAAACTGATTGATGGATACCTGGCTGAAATTGCAAAGGATCCCAAGCTGCCATTGTCAAAGTTTGTTGATCTTGCGGAGTTGGTGTCAGGTATCTCCAGGCCAGCTCATGATGGGCTTTACCGGGCCATTGACATGTACCTCAAGGTAAGAATTATCCGAATCTTTTTCCTCTCATTGGAGATTCAGTTAGTTTTTCACTTGTAATACCACATTCTATTATAACACCACAAAATCAATTGTACTAGCATGCTCTTTGCTCTTGCATTTTTGTTAAGAGTACAACTTTACACTATAAAGTTTTAATAGCTGTCTAATTCAATTGCAACTCCAAGCGTTTTAGTTTTATAAACAAAATTCATGTTGCTGCTTTGTTGCTGATTGCATTTTGAACCATGCTTTCGGTGCAGGAGCATCCAACAATCAGCAAAAGTGAAAGAAAGAAAATATGCAAGCTCATGGACTGTAGGAAGCTATCAGTAGATGCATGCAAACATGCTGTACAAAATGAGAGACTTCCACTGCGTGTTGTTGTCCAGGTACTCTTTTTTGAGCAAGTCAGGGTTGCTGCCTCGTCAGGTTGCAGCACTCCCGAACTACCAAAAGGTCTTAAGGATCTAAAATATGGATCCCATGGGAGCTCAAGGTCCGCAGCAACCAATCCAGAGGAAGATTGGGATGCTGTGGCCACAGCCGAGGAGCTGAAGGCCCTAAAAGGGGAGCTTGCTGCCCTGAGGTTGAGCAATGGAATGGGAGGGAGTGAGAGAAATGGTGGCGATATTAAAACTGGTTTTGAGAAGGCTGCCATTGGTAAAATGAAAGGTATGCTCAAGTCCAAGAAGATCTTTGCAAAGCTCTGGTCGAGCAAAGGCGGACAAGGAGACAACAGCGGCTCAGATTCATCTGACAGTCTTGGTTCTGTGATCCCAGAAGAAGCTAAATCCACACCATCCAGAAAAAGGCATTCAGTTTCTTGATAGACCAAAATTATATAGTTGTTTTTTGGTTCTTTGTACTTTTATATTTTTGGTTTTTACCTCCCTTAATGACATTAGAAACTTCAGAATCTAGTGTTTGTGTTTTAATTGATCAAAAAATGAAGCATATATAGTTTGGTAGAAGAGTTTGGATTTGACATTACAAAAATGAACATTACCAGAAATCTAATCACTATAAAGTTAACGTTTGACATACAATTAAGAGAACTTTATTTTTTTATTTTTTATTTTTATTTTTTTGTGGTGATTAGGTTGTATGTTCGGATTATCTTGCGTGTCCTTAAACTAATTTTTCGGGATTCTAAAGTTAATGGTCGGGCAAATCTCTAATGGTCACCCTTATTAGCACTCGATGAGAGATTCAAATTCAGGATATCTTAAATAATATATTCAAGAGTCTCTTATCAAACTACTCGGTCACCTAAAGATTGGTTAATTAAGAAAATGTTCGACTTATCACATCGATAATGTTATCTATCTGTGATAAATTTTAGAATAATTTGAGTTAAATGTTATAGTTTGATCTAAGGAGGTTTATTCATTTTCTTGGGTTCTTGGATTCAAAGCTTGAGGTCACCAACCATAATATTATTGTGGTTTACCTGATATTTTGGACTTATAAAGTGTTCAATAGATTTCAGAGATTAATTGAAGCACGCGCAAGCTAACTTGAGCTCCCTTATTGCCAAAAATAAAAAAATATAAAGATGAGTGACTTGGTACATTTTATTCGACAGTGAAGTGAGTAGTAAATTAATCGAAAATGACAAAAAGTCCTAGGTAGGTAATAACTAACAATTAAAATATTAAAATTTAAACCCAGTTTAGGTTCCGGCTTAGTATCAAAAACAAAAACATCCAAATAACTATTAATCTATATATTAAAATAATAATCAGAGATTAAAAACTTGAAAACTATCGTCAAAACCATCAGCAATTAAAGAAAGATTTAATTAGATTGGTTTTTGTCCAACGTTATGGAAACACTAGCAGTTAATGAAGGATTTAATTGATTAATAAAACCAAGCAGCCGCATAAATGTGGTGCGGCAATTAGGGTGAAAAGAACGTATTATTATAGTCAACTAGATCCTAACTATGTTAAACTTTAAGTAATTTTATATATGCGGTATTGATGTTAACTTGTTCAAAATGAACTTTAAGCTTGTACCGTTTATCACAAAGATGATCTTATTTCCAACGTTTATTACAAAGGAATTGACCTCTGGGGTTTACATGTTAATATTGCTTTGAATGAGGGGTTAAGAATTTCTGTTACAAATTTGTGTCACGTTTCTAGGAATGATGTGGGACACCAACACAGCCCTTAAAGGGACGAGGGGCTTTAGAGCAGCCTATGCTCTCCTTCTAGGGTCAAGTGTTGATGTATGGAAGATCCATACACATGATAAGTGAGTTTCCAAATGCATTGTCCGTTTTGGGTTTTAGAGCTTGCACGATTTTGCCCTAAAAATATGTCTTTATATAAACGATTAAGATCCCCGTCTCTTAACTAACGTGAGACTTTGCCACTAACATGTCAAAATATATTCGGATTAAGTAAAGAAATTCTCTTCAAAACAATTTAAGAATTTTGAATAAAAATGATGCAAACGTTCAGTAATTAAGCAAAATCAATACATTTTATGTTACATCCAATATCACTAACGAATGAGTACAAGATTTAGTTTATAAGATTTGGATCTTTTTAACTAAGTAAACATGTTTTGGGTAGAGGACTTTTATATGAAAACTAAAACTAAACATGTGCAACATGAACCAAAAGTGGATAAAATCTACTTGATTAAAGTCAGAATTTGACATTCTAATATCATTGAAGGATTCTTCAAGGAGAGGTCTGAAATGAGCTTAATTGTTGGAAGAGAATCAAAGATGACCTTTGATTCTTGCCCAATGCCCATCTCCAAACCTCAAATGTCTTTCAAATTCATGGAAGAGACACTTCCACTATACAAAAACATATATAATTTTGTGTTGCAAAAAAAACCCGCAAAAAACGTCACTCTCTCACAAATCACAATCTAATAGAGCATTTGGGCTTTGTCTTTACATTTATACGCCCAACCCCAGCTCATAAAATTGACCTCATTCACCTTTTTAAGTTTAAACCCCATTATTTAAAAAACAAGTCAAGAATGAAGCCAAAAATTCTTGAATTGTTTAAAGCTAACCCAACGCTTCATGGATTGGAATCATATTCTCCACAAACTTAAAAGAGTGTGGTCCAGTTGGGATAAGGATGCCACGTACGTACTCGAAACTATAACTTCAATGCCTTACATTGTCATCTTCGCCCATTTTCTTAATCTAATTTTACATCATTTGATAACCATTAATAAATAGTCTGATAAAAGAGTAAAATAATGTTTTATAAACTATTAAATTAGAGTCCTTCAAAACACTAATACAGATAGTTATTGGGACTTGTACTTAGCCTTAAATTTTAGAATTTTAAAAAATTAAATAAAATGTACACAAATTGATTCGAACACCTTTAATCAACCTTTTAAAGTTAATTACCTCTCGCATTGTTTACTGTTAATATTTGTTTATTAGCCTAAACCCAAAAATAACAACAATATGGAGTTTATGACTAAAAGTGAAATTATTTGTTCTGATTTAGGAAAAAAGATACAAAATTACAAACATTATAGAGTCCAAATTTCAACCTATTAACTAATGGAATTAAGTAAAACATGACACCATTTGAAAAGCAACAACTAAAAGTCCAAAACAGAAACAAACGGGTAAAATATCCACAAAAGAGAATCCAACGGCTCAGAAACCCCTAATTCCCAACCGTTTGCGGAGACACGGAGCCGCACTCACCCATTTCCTTGGAGCCCAAACCCCCACCATTACGTGAACAAACAAATCCTTCATTCAATTCAACACACACAGAACCTAACCAACCACACTCTAACCCAACCCAACTAACCATTGTTAAGATTTAACCACCCCCAATAACTCTCTATAAATAAACTCCCTTTCCATCCTCCTTACTTGTTGCTTCAATTGTTATCAAACTCATCCTCTTCTTGCTGCCCAAGTAACCGAACGTTACGTAATTCTATTTTCTTTCTTGTTTTTGATGTGCTAAAAGGAATTTTAAATCCGGGGAAAATGAGTTGCAATGGCTGCAGAATCCTCAGAAAAGGTTGCAGTGAGAACTGCATGCTTAGACACTGTCTGCAATGGATAGGCAGCCCTCAAGCTCAGGCCAACGCCACCGTCTTCGTCGCTAAGTTCTTCGGCCGCGCCGGTCTCATGTCCTTTATCTCCGCTGTGCCTGAAACTCAACGTCCTGGTAAATCTCTTTGTCTTACATAACAAAATTTTTCTCATTAAATATATTATCGCATTTGAATAAATTTACTGACGGTTGTTGTGGTGGTGTTTGCAGCATTGTTTCAGTCTTTGTTATATGAGGCGGTGGGGCGGACGGTGAATCCGGTTAGCGGAGCAGTGGGGCTGCTGTGGACGGGGAACTGGAACGTGTGCCAGACGGCGGTGGAAACGGTTCTTTGCGGCGGCGAGTTGCATCCAGTGCCGGACCAGTTGACGGAGTTGGATGACGTGTCAGAATCTGGTGTACTCAACTGTACTTCTCTTTCCACGACGCCAAGAAAGGTTATTTCCATACCCTTGAAAAGGAACAGTAGTGAACCCACGGGAGATCTTGATCTGACGTTGACGACTAGCTTTCCGTCCAGAGCTGTGAAGCGGCGAGCACCAACGCCGTCGGAGGAGTCCGAAACGACGACGTTCGGAAGTGGGCTTGAAAATTCTAGTCTTGAGGGAGGTGAGCGGAAGCTCTTGAGACTCTTCGATTAAGCAAGGAATATTTTTGTTTTTCTTTTCATTTTAATTTTTAACCTGCAACTTATAATATAATTACAACAGTTTATATGTTTAATCTTCTTCTATCAGCCCTTTTCCTTTAATCATAATGGAGAGGAATTTTCAGTTGTTCTAAATATGGAAGAAACAGCTTTATATTTGTTTAAATAATTATTTAAACTTTAAGGGATTCCTCCATACATATATAAATAGGAAGGGGTATTATAAGGCTTCTGGTGGGATGAAATTCTAACTCCTTATGTCTGATATTTTTCTTTCATACTTACATATATTTTCCATGTGAAGTTATAGATTGATTATGGTACCACATAATGGTGTGGTTTTGTCCATAAATCCCATCAAATTGGATATGATATGTTTTAGCTACTGCACAATGTATTGGTTCCAAGAATTGCACAACTTTCTCTTACTTTTCACATTTAATGCATATACAGTATGTGTTTATGTGTGTGCATATGCATGTGTGTGATGGGATAAATGAGTAACATCCTGTTAATTGTTTTTTTTTTTTTTTTTTTTTAATCATAAATGAACTTGATTAGTTCTCATACCCAGCAGCTAACATGATGGAAGCAGAGACCATATCGAAAGTAATATTTTTCTTGTTAGAGTAAAATTTGATGATTTATGTGCCAACTTAGTGTAATCTTAAAAGCACTTACTTTTAAGTTTTCTTAATTCTAATACAGTTGAAATTTTTTTTCTTAGTGCTTTTATCAACCAGACTAAATTTAGTACCCATTATTTTCATTGAGTAATAACTCAAACTTCTTCAGAAAGAGTTTTTCAAATAGAATTTTTTAAGTTTTTAGTGAACTTTTGCATAGAACTTAAGTTTGGATTAAAGCATATGCGGATGTTTGACAATCTTGGATATTCATATTCATATTTGGCTAATTTGACTAACCTTTTGACTTGAGGACGAACTAAGCTCCGCATCAAGCTCTTGGAGAATCAATGATGCATGTTTCATTATCATTTTTTGATATATTCATGAGCTTGAACTACAGTTCCCATCTTTCTCTCTGTGCTTGACTAGAGTTGCTCCACCTACCACAACCTATACACCACCTATTGAGCAACCGGAAGTGGTCATTCCAAGTGTAGCCAGCCATTGCCCCACTCACAGTGCTTACTTTAAACCATGTTTGTTTATAATTTCATATTATTACTGATTTATTTCTGATTGTAAATTGATTCAGTTTTGATTCCTTTATTATGCAGCCAACCTTTGGCAATGATGGTCACAGTGAGCATTGATGGGGGTACATTCAGAATAATAATGAACACTTCTTTTTTGGCGTAGACATAATATGCACCATTTAAAAAAAAATATATATATATTGTCTATTTATTTATTTTTCTGTGTCTTATAAACAATGTTATATTGCAAATGTTTATCATAAAGCATATTTATTATCGAAAAGTTGCAAACTTACATTCTTAGATAGGTTATACATGTTTTTTGTGGACTCTATAGCCAGTAATAGTTTGTATTTTGTGACGAATAGATTTTCGTGTTGGATGATAAAAGATGACAAGTTTTTTTTTTTTTTTTTGCTCATTTCATGGTGCTGGGCAACCTTTTAAATGGTGAAAGATTAACTGTTAGACCTCAAAGCAATGGTTATATTCCATGCAAGAGCTACTAATTTTAAAAAGGGCAAAATTGTCATTTCAATTAATTATTATGTGCCAAATTATTGTAAGAAAAGTATTGCAACTCTTCTTTTGCTTTGAAAAGGGAATATATTCCTATCGCTAAAATGTTCCAATATTATTTCGTTCTTCAATTAATTTATTTATTTGTGTCAAAACCACTTTCATAAGTTAAGGGACTTTCAACTTCTATGTATTGAATTCAATTAATCAATTCCTGTTGAATTACAAACTGACCATTTAAATCTTCCATCACTTGCATTTTATTAAATTAAAAGAGGAATGTGAAAGATCTGTATTGCATACATTAATTGAATGCATGTGAATTATCCCTATTTTATCCATCAATAAGCAGCAAACACGGGGACCAATTAACGATATCCTAAATGGCAATCATATAACGATTCTCAGCAATCTTTAAACTAAAAAACCCGATTAAAAAAAAAAAAAAACAAAATGTTCTTTATAATCAATATTGACATATTTTTTTGTGAAACAATAATCATTACAGTTTTTTAAAATATAAAAATTTGACAATAATAATAAATAAACCTACGCAACGCGCGGCGTGCCATCTAGTTGATTAATAAAACCAAGCAGCCGCATAAAGTGGTGCGGCAATTAGGGTGAAAAAACGTATTATTATAGTCAACTATGATCCTAACAAGGTTAAACTTTAAGTAATTTTATATATGCAGTATTGATGTTAACTCTGTTCAGAATGAATTTAAGCTTGTACTTTGCATGTACCGTTTGTCACAAAGATGATCTTATTTCTAACGTTTATTACAAAGGAATTGACCCTACGGTTTACACTTACATGTTAATATTGCTTTGATTGAGGGTTAGAATTTCTGTTACAAATTTGTGTCACATTTTGGGTTTTAGAACTGTGCACGATTTTGTCCAAAGGTGTTTTTTATATAAACGATTAAGATCCCCGTCTCTTAACTAACGTGAGACTTTGCCACTAACATGTCAAAATATATTCGGATTAATAAGAAATTCTCTTCAAAACAATTTAAGAATTTTGAATTCCAAATAACTATTAATCTATATATTAAAATAATAATCAGAGATTAAAAACTTGAAAACTATCGTCAAAACCATCAGCAATTAAAGAAAGATTTAATTAGATTGGTTTTTGTCCAGCGTTATGGAAACACTAGCAGTTAATGAAAGATTTAATCTATATATTTATATAATGCAGAAGCAAACTGCTTCTTCTGACGACACGTAGGATTGATATATGGTCATCATGTAGGATATCATTAAATGGTCTATGTGTTTACTATTTATTGGGCTTACTATGATAGGGATTATTCATATGCATTCAATTAATGTATTCAATACAAATTTTTCACATTCCTCTTTTAATTTGAGATCTTTCACATTCCTTTTTTAATTTGATAAATTACTAATGATTCACTTGTGTGTTATTGATTTCCATGAATATTAAGAGATTGTTATAATATAAATTATTTACATGCATTCAATTAATGTATTTAATACAAATCTTTCACATTCCTCTTTTAATTTGATAAAGATACAATATATCTTTTCACATTCATGAAATTCAATAATACACTTTATTAATCTATTAATATTCAATGTTTATTCATGCATATTAATTATTATTAATATTTTTGTACCTTTTCACATTCAATTAATTATTATTAATATTAATATATCTTTACCCCTTCACATTCAATTAAACAAAAATATCAAACATAATAACGAAAAATGTTTTTTATAAAACGTATTATCATTTAACATTTAATATAAATCTGAAAATTTTAAACTCATCCAATAACAATAAAACATTTAAATCAAAATAACCATATCCAATAACATGCAAACACTTACTAAAAAATATCAAAAGTTATATTAATTAACAATGATCCAATTACATTGAACATAACATGAACAATTGTTATAATCATTAATTATCATATAATATTACTTAATGACATCTAAAGCTATATAAGAGTAGAGAATTCAACAATCCATACACCTTCAAATATTTCTTTTATTTCACACAGATACCATTAACAAATGGAAGACAAAAGATCAACTATTGTCAATCCAAAATCCAAACAAACAGAAGCGTGCGGTAAATAACATCAACTGATTATTCTTATATTCCTTCTACATATCTACTTTTACATGTCCATTTTTTTATTTTTAGCAGGTCAAGCAGCAACGTTAAATGGTTCGCCTGAACTGGAAGGTATTCTACAAAACCTTAAAGTCACGTTGGACAAACTCAACGCTGCCAGAGTGATGAACAGAAATATAATGAATGTTTTGTTAGAAATAACAAGCTCAACCATACATGTAATATTCGATTTATGGAAATGTGAATCCCTGATTATTGCCAAAGAAAAGTAACTTGGTATTCCTCAAGGAAAAAAATAGAACTATATATATAAACAGTTCTATTATCAATAAAATCGATAAAAGATTCACAATAAATTGTTCCCATTGAATGATAATACCAAAAACTAATATAAATACTATTTATTCTACCGTTAACGCATAATTCTACATTACTATTTTACACCTTTTAATCCATTTCTTTAATATTCCATTTCATTGTATAACTTAATGGGTTGGATTTAAATTTTAAATTTTTTTTAATTAAGTAATGAATAAGTTTCTCAACAATTGAACTTAAACTTATTCTATATGTGTTGAATGATTCATTTCTTTGTATAATTCAAGAACTTAGATTTAAATATTGATTTCTTTTATATGTTCCTTAAAATGACATGAGAACTAAACGTCTACAGTTGTTTTTGTTCTCAGAATGATCCAAAATTGTCTTTTTGCAGATTGGCTGTATGGCGATATGTGGGATTGGTTCCAATCCGGGTTTGAAGGGTGTTGAGAGATAGAGTTTAAGTGGGAATTTGTCAACAAGACTGATTAGTAGGCAGTTTGTGGGAAGTCAAAGTCATGTGTGATGTTTCAGAGAAGAAGTTTTGGAGTTCAGTATTCATCTTCGAGGAAGGTTATTTCTCGAGTTGAATCTGAGGTTGTTTTTGTGGAGGAAGAAGAGTCAGGGCATGTGATGAGGTTAAAGATGTCTGATTTTAAGATTCTTGATCGTGTTAGCCTTGGCCTTGCTAGGCGGGTATGTTTGTGTGAAGAATTCAAATGTTTATTGGAATTTGATGGTGGTGTTTGATTGTTTTTGTGATTTAATTGAATTGGGATTTCCTGTAGGTTGATGAGGTTGTTTTTGAAGCCATTATGAATTATTCTAACAGGTTTCATTTCTTTTTTGTTTCTTTCTCATTATTTTCTTATGATATGTTAGACTAAGGCGTGAACATATGATGTTTGTATTGTGAGATTGCAGCCTTTGTACAACACAAGAGTTATGCTAGAAAAAATAGATGAAATGTAAGATCAATTGAGGAGTGAGTAACTTCTATTGCTA